CTGCATCAATTCAGATAATCATGTGAATTTTTTCTCCTCTTTATTCTGTTAATATGGTGCCTTATATTGATTAATTTTCTTATGTAGAACCACTCTCTCATTGCTGGGATAAATCCTAATTGGTCAGGGAGTATAATCCTTTTAATATGCCATTGGATTCTGTTTCCTAGCACTTCGTTGAGGAGTTTTGCATCTATATTCATAAAAGATATTGGCATGTAGCTTTTTTTTCTTGTGGTGTCTTTGACTGGCTTTAGTATCAGAGTAATACAGGCCTCATAGAATGAGTTAGGAAGTGTTCACTCCTCTTGTATTTTTTGGATGAGTTCGAGAAGGATTGGTGTTAATTCTCTTTAAATGTTTAGTAGAATTCACCAGTAAGGTATCTGGTTTTAGACGTTTCTTTGGTGGGAGGTTTTATGTCTTTGTTTTTAGTTACTGATCCAATGTGTTTACTTATTACAGGTCTGTTTCATTCTTTTTTCTACTGAGGTCACATTGGTTTATAATATAATATAAATTTCAGCTGTGCATAATTATGTTTCGACTTCTGTATAGACTGCATCATGACCACCACCAAAAGTCTAGTGGCCACCTGTCACCGTACACATGTGCCTCTTTACCCCTTTTGCCCTCCCCTCCTCCCAACATCTCTGGTAACCACCAATCTGGTTTCCGTTTCTGTTTGTTTATCTTGTACATATGAATAAAATTATCGGTAATTGTCTTTCTCTATCTGACTTGTTTCACTTTGCATAATACCCTCAAGGTCCATCCATTTTGTTGCAAATGGCAAGATTTTGTCTCTTTTTGTGGCTAAGTGGTATTCCATTCCACATCTTCTTTATCCATTCATCCATTGATGGGCACTTGGGTTGCTTCCAAGTCTTGGCTATTGTGAATAATGCTATGATGAACATAGGGGTGCATATGTCTTTTTGAATTATTGATTTCATGTTCTTTAGATAAATACCCAGAAATGGAATAGTTGGATCATATGGTATATCTATTTTTAATTTTTTGAGGAATCTCTATACTGTTTTCCATAGTGGCTGTACCAATTTAAGTTTCTATTTCTTTTTGAGTAAGTTTTGGTAATTAGTGTGTGTTATGTAAACCTTTCATTTCATTATTAGGTTAACAGTAGCAGTTTATTGTATGAATTTTTCTACCTTATGAAAAGGTTAGGATTGAAGAGCTTAGCTTACTCTCTTTAAACTATAAATTCCTAATATAATTTATACACTATAAATATAATTTAATACACTATAATCTTGCTGGTATGGTTAATTTTATATGTTAACTTGCCTGGGCCACAGTGCCAAGATATTTGGACAAACATTATTCTAGATGTTTCTATGAAAGTGTTTTTTGGATAAGATTAACACTTTAATTGGTGGACTTTGAGTAAAGCATATTACTCTCTATAATGTCAGTGAGCCTTAACTAATCAGTTGAAGGCCTTATAGAAAAAGACTGACCTCTCTCTAGCAAGAAGGAATTCTGCCAGCCAGACTGCCTTTGGACCTAAACTACAATTCTTCCCTGAGTCTCCAGCCTGCTGGCCTACTCCATCAGATTTTAGATTCACTAAGCCTCTATGATCATATGAGTCAATTCCTTAAAATAAATCTCTCTATACATACAACTATCTTGTTGTTTCTGTTTCTGTAGAGAAGTGACTAAAATACTTGCTGTGTAGTATTATTCTCTGAAACCAAAATATTTCCTTTTAGCCCTGTGACACACAATTAGTTTCCAGATTTTACTGCATATCCAGAATTTAATTCTCTCCAATTGGATTCCTTCCTTCATTTATTCATTCATTTGACAAATATGTTTTGAACATCTAAAATGTACCAGGCACTGAGCATAAGGCAGTGAACAAATAAGGAAATATATAGCATGTCAAATGGCAATAAATGTCATGGAGAACAATAAAGGGCAGCATGCAGGTGGTGTTTACTATGATATACATAGGATGGTATGTTAGCTACCTTCCATTTGCTTCTCCAGATCTGTTCATTGCCTTTCTCTACTCCATCATCTGCCATAGGAGATTGACCTGTACTTAATACACAATAGGTTCTTATGCCCTCTGGCTTCCAGGTGGGTTTAGCCAGTGGGACCCCTGGCAAGAGATCAGAGGAAAGACAAGAGTAGATTTTTGATATTTATTCTTCTGGCTCCTTCCTTCCTGGACTGCAACGGTTTGACTACGTCTTTCTACACATGGTTTGTCTAGTTGGATGGCCATCTCCCTATACCTTTCTCTTTTAGGGTTCCAATAGTTACCTTTGTCTAGTGGTTTCCAACCTTGGGCAATTTTGTTCCCCAGGGGACATTTGGAAATGTGTAGACAATTTTGGTTGTTCCACTGGGTGAATGCTATTGGCATCTCCTTGGTAAAGGACAGGGTTGTTGGTAAAAATCTTACAATGGCAGGAGAGCCCCCAACAACAAAGAATTATCCGGCCTAAAATGTTGATAGTGCTGAAGTTGAGAAGCCCTGCCTTGTCCCCTGAAGCCTAGGGATTGGTTACTGGCCCCAAATTACTGCACCATACCTTGTTGTTTTTCCCAAACCAAACTGACCCCTATGTAAAGAGTCCTTTTATTAAATTCTCCTCAAATTACAAATCTCCTTCTGGAACTGAAACTGATACAAGTTGCCAGTCAGGATCCAGTGAATAAAACAGAAATAAGTCTGAGAATTTAAAAGAGAGGAATTTAATAGAGAGAATTGGTTATATGGGTTTTGCAAGACCTGAAAGGCCAAATAACTATCAGTAAAGGAGCCCAGAAATCAGCAACAGCTGGAAGCCACTACCATCCCTATGCTGCAAGGACAAAGGAAATATATCATGTTATCAGATCCCAGAGGTTGGAGTTACCTGCAAGAAGCTACAAGCTAGTTCAAAGGAAACTAGAGCCATAGGGAAGATTTGCTGCTGCCTGGAGATGCAGCCTGAGACAGGAGAAAATATCCCTTTCTCTATTTTCTCTCCTCCCACTCTCCAATCTCCCATTGACTGAACCCAACCAGAAACCAGCTGATACAGGAGTTTGAGAAAAGCAGCATGTAGGAGAAAGCAGAGTCAGGCAAGGGAATGATCTAAGAACATGCAGGGTCATACCCAATAAAGACGACTTTTCCAAATAAGGTGACATTCAGGAGAGACTTGAAAGAAGTGAAGAAGCAAACCATCTTACCTGGAATAAGAATGTTCCAGGTTGCAGGAAACAAAGTACAAAGGCCCTAGGAAGTAGCATGCTGAGTGTGTTAATGGGCACATGGAGCCAATGATCATACAACAGAGAGAATGATCAGGAGAGTGGTAGGAGATGAGACCACAGGGGAGGACAGGCAGCAGATCATACAGGGTTGTTTTTGTTTTTGTTTTTGTTTTTGTTTGCAGGAAAGGATTTTCCCTGAGTTAGCATCTGTTGCCAATCTTCCTCTCTCTCTCTTTTTTTCTCCCCAAAGTCCCAGTGCCTCGTGATATATCATAGTTGTAAATCCTTCTAGTTTTTCTATGTGGGCCACTGCCACAGCATGGCAACTGACAGATGGAAAGCTAAGTTAAGAAAGTGCTCCAAGCAGGAGGAAGAGATTAACTGTGTCAAATGCTACAGAAGTGTCAAGTAAGGTGAGGATTGAGGATTGCCCATTGGATTTGGCAACTTGGAGGCCACTGGTGACCTTGACAGAATTAGGTTTGGAGGTGTGGTTCAGGATAGGGAGTGAGTTCAAAGGAGAAAAGAAATTGGAGACAGTCTGTATAGCTTTTTGTTTTAGTCTGTATAGACAACTTTTTCAAATAGTTTTGTTGTAGAGAAATTGAATAGTAGCTGGAGGGAGGGGTGGGGGTCAAAAGAGAGGGGTGTGTGAGTGTGCATGTTTGAGATGGGAAATGTAGCAGTGTGTTTGTATGTTGGTAGAACTGATCCAGTCAAGAGGAAAAAACTGATGATGCTGGAAAAAGAGGGAAAATTACAGAAGTGATATTCTTAGCAAATGAGAGGAAATGGGATCTTGTGCACAATGGGAGGAGATTCTCTTGGGTGCGCAGATGTTCACTGACAGTAAAAGAGAAAAGGCAGAAGATATGGCCATAGATGTAGACAGGTGGTAGAGCGTGTGGAAATTCTCTTCTGAGTTACACACTTTTCACAGGAGCAAGGAAGTCAGCTGATATTTGAGGATTGGGGAGGAGGAGCTGTGGGAGGATTGACGAGAGAGATAAAGGTGTGAAACAGTCATTTAGGATTGGGAATAGATGAGAAAAATGGAGAAGAATGGCCAAGTAGCACCAAAGGCCTACTTGAGCTTAGTGGTCATCAGTTTAAAGGGGGAGCAGTCAGCACGACTGAGTCTTTCTCCAGCCCTTTCAGCTGCTTGGGTGCAGCCCTGGAGTAGAGATTAGATTTAACTAAGGTTGCAGAGGCTTTATTTACAACCCCCAACATGTAATTTGGCTTCAGGACAACATTTATATAGTAATTAGTCAAGAAATAAAAATGTCTTGGGAAAATCATCCTGAATTCCAAGAGTTTTGAGAACTTGTTATAAGCAAAGAGAGAAAAGTAAAGCAGAGGTTGCTTTACTCAATCCATTTTGAAAGTGTTGCTCTGCAAAACCTGATCTGGGACTTCTCAGGAAACAATAGGTTAACGCTTTTGCCCTCAACAGACGTTGTGAACTGGTTTTCCTAAGTCTCTTGAATCTGGTGGACCCTGTATCCACTGATTGGCTAAGGAATCAGAACCCTACATGACACTTAACTGTTAGCGTTGTAAATAATCCATTCCAGGTTATAAGAGGCTGAGTATATGACAACCACAGGGATTATAAAAAGCAAGAAAGGTGTGTTTGAAGTAGTCACACATTTCTCTAGTAAAAATGTCTTACTCTGGACCTTTTGCAGATAGAACTCACATCCTCTGATGAGCGTCTGGTCAAAGATTCTAGTAATAAAAGTCTTGGAGACCTGCAGCTGGATAATTTGAACCTTTATTTTACTCCGAGCCAATGGGAGTTAAGATATTGTGTCTTTCTGTCCCAGTACTCAGTTTCTGGACAAGATCAAAGAGTCCATTTACAGGTGCTCAGAAGACATCTATAGCACTAACCCACAGGATGTCGCAATGAAAGGGGGGCATAATGGGTTAAATAGCGTCCCTTCCACAAAAGATACGTCCAAGTCCTAACTCCTGGGACTTGTGAACATGACCTTGTTTGGGTACAGGATCTTCGCAGATATTATTAAATTAAGGATCTTGGGATGAGATCATTCTGGATTTAAGGTGGGTTGTAAATCCAGTGACTTATATCCTCATAAGAAAGGGGAAAGGGAGATTTGAGACACACAGAGCCACAGAGAAGAAGGTAACGTGGAGATCGAGGCAGAGATGGGAGTGCTATGTCTACAAGTAACACGGATAGCTGACAACCACTGGAAACTAGGAGAGGCATGAAACAGATTCTCCGTCAGAGTGGCCAGAAGGAACCACCCTTGCTGACATCCTGATTTCAGACTTCTGGTCTCCTGGATGGTGAGAGAATCAATTTCTGTTGTTTTAAGCCACCAAGTTTGTGGGAACTTGTTAGGGCAGTCCTAGGAAACCGGGGCACGGAGTGAGCTCATATTTCAGTAAAGTAAAGAGTACGTCATCAGGAAAATGACAATGAAGCATTCTGGGGACTAGAGGAGGAAGCTGGGACCACTTGTAGTTCCTAAAACCTTGTGGCATTCCCCTTGGGTTCCCTCTAGAAGAATGTGGCTCCTCCTCCAGAAATCATGTTTCCTGATCGTCTGGAAAACCTGCAGTTCTCTTGAGTCCATTGTCCCATTTCCATGAAGGTGTTTGCAAACATTTTGCTCTCAAGGAAGTCTGACCCTTATGATTTAATCAGCCTGATTCTGCAGTCCTGAAATTTCTGCTTGCAGTGGGTCTGAGCTAAGTCTGCGTTGAGGAGGGCAGCCTCCCAGATGCATGTCTGTCCCCGGATTCCTGACTTGTCTCATCTGGAATGAAAGGAAATCACAGCCAACACTGCACTTTGATGTACTGGTGCTTTTATTCTTCCTGTTCTCTGCCTTAAGTGCTCTCACTCCACTTACGGAGCCCGTGCCCATCCTTCGAGATTTGCCCAAATGCCTTCTGCTCTCTGAAGGCTTCCCTGGAACCACAGAATCAATTATGTTTTCTCCCATGTTCCCACAGCTTGTGCACCTCTGTCAAAACACGTATTAAATTGTATTATAGCTTAGTTTTTACATATTTGTTTTACTTGAAACACGCCAGAGGAACTGTTATTCATGTCTGTGTCATCAGCACTTGGTCTAAAACCTAGATCAATAAATGCTTTTTTGTATAAACTAAGGAAAGCAATATCTTAGAAAACCCACAGTAACCAAACTCAAACTTTCTCAAAAACACACAACAGCTATTATTTAACTTCATCTTTTTTTGATTTTAAACCATTAGAATTTGGCAAAGGAATAAAGTAACAGAGAAATTAGGGTGTCCTGTCTGAGGAAAGAGTTCAGTGCGGAATTATGGAGGTCAGCAAATGTTTGCTGCTTTGCCGTCGCGATCAGAGGAGAACTTCTTTCCTGCAGATGGAAAGGGCATTGTCATCCCCAGGAGTGCAAGCTTCTTGAACACACGGGAGGTACGTTATTTCTATTTTGGATTAGAGTTTAAAAAGGCTGTCCAGAACCAACCACTGAAGAAGCACGCTGAGTCATAATTCCTTCCTCTGGTTGCTGCAGAAAGCTGAAGTGTTTACAGCAGCTGGTGTGCAATGTGATGGTGTATCTTTCTGTGGTCTATCCAAATGCCTCCTTTCATCATGTTTGGTTTGGAGTTATACCTGGAGTTTTATGTATTTGAAAATGTTCGGGATGAATCCTCAGCTGTAATAAAAATACAGACTGTATTTTAAGCTTGTATGTGAATGTGCTCCGTAGAAAAGATGAAAACATCCAAGTGAACAGAAGTTGAGGGCATAAACATAAGAGGAAGGTTTGGATAGGTAAGTATGCATGTTCCCATGGGAACATACAGTTGTTGCCAACAAAAGCCATGGGAAAAGGCTACAGACTCTTTCTATGATTCAGGCTAAAATCACATTTGTAAAGGAGTCAAAATACACATGAATCATCTCCTCTTTCATCCACGATGATCATTACTATCTCCAAGTCAAAAGCTGGCCAAGAGTCACAATGAAAACCAGCCTGTTGTGACAACTGGAGATGTTTGCACTAAATTTCCCCACTAAGAAGTCCCAACAGCTTCTAACATCCACCACATAACCTCTAAGTTCCTATGCCTATTAAGACTCTCATAATCCTGCCTTATAGTCTCTATCTCACCTAGTTTGTGACCATTTTCCCATTTGGGTCAAGGTGTTCTTCTCACTACTCCCTATACCCATGTTCATTTATAACTCCAAAACTTTACTCACATTCTTTGTTTTCCAGGACATTTTCCTTCTTCGTCATCTATTCAAACCAATTTATTCTTAAATTCCAGTCCCAGTACCTGTGGGTCCTCTGATCTGTTGGGTTTGTCATGACTGCAACCCTATTGGTCTCTCTGCTCTGAATTTCTATACAGTCACTCAATAGCTAGAATCTGAAGCTAATATTTCTTTTGAAATCAACTCATCATTTAAGGACACTCATTGGATTCACACACTGCACTAGGAGCATAATGAAGATTTCTGGTTAATCTTCTGCTATTTTCTTTGCTGTTCACCATTTTAAATAATTCTTTCCTTCCCAAAGATAACTAAGGGTTTTTTGCTCCTTTTTAATCCTATGCAAGGGGAAACACCTTTCTCCCCTCCTTGGACTGAGAAAGAATCAGTGTATACTAAACTGGTGAAAGCTATTGGAATCTTCAACTTTAACCTCTTCCAAATTGAATAAACCTCAAAGTACAAATCAGTTACTAATTAAGGAAAGCCTGTGCGGATAAGGAAATACTGGTTTTGGACACTTTGACCACTGTTTGGATACCCAGACTGTGGAATCACTAACAGGCATATTGCCTGGTATCTGCTGAGTCTCGTCCCAGGATTCAGAATGAAAGTGATTCTTTCGGGATCTGAACCTTGCAGGGAAAAATAAATGTTCAAGGCTAGTTCAGATCTCAAAGTCTGGCAATCTCAGTTTAGTCATGAACAGATAATGGGATCTTCCTAACCATAAGATTGGCTTAACATCTGAAACCTCAAAATGCCTCCATTTCTAGGGCAATATGATCTCTGCTTTAAGAAACTGTTTCTGGATGCCAGGAAATTTAGCCTGATATTTTTTAAAGTCACTCTGGTTCACCTGTGCTGAATGAGAGGAAAACTGAAACAAAAATTCTCCTCCCTTTAATTGAACAAAGTGTAGCCTGCCCTTGACTGACTTTTCAGTAGCTTACCTGCTGTGGTAGGTTATTGTCAAAAATGTTTACTCCTTCATCCTTTCACCTCCATTAAGGGGGATATCCTTTTCCCACCCCTTGATTTTGGCCTTGGCCATGTGACTTGCTTTGGCAGATGTGACACAACCAGGGGCTTGAAATGTGCGTGAGTGCATGGGTGTGCCCTCTTGCGCCTCTCTCATCGCCATGGGAGGAGCGTGTCTTGACTAGTCACTGGTCCAAAAAGGGTGAAGACACAGGGAGCAGAGCCGCCCAGATGACCTGCAGTTATGTGAGATTAAATGATTGTTATCTGGAGGTAGTGAGTTTTTGACTGGTTTGTTAGAATTTTTGTGGCAATAGCTAGCTAACTGATGTACATACCAATAGTTCTACAAATGGTGAGATTTTCCCAAGTTTGGTTCAGTTCCCAGAAAATACCATTCTTTTCTTTTTTTGTGAGGCAGATTGGCCCTCAGCTAACATCTGTTTCCAATCTTCCTCTTTTTGCTTGAGGAAGATTGTCGCTAAGCTAACATCTGTGCCAACCTTCCTCTATTTAATGTGGGATGCTGCCACACCATAGCTTGATGAGAGGTGCTAGGTCCATGCCCAGGATCCAAACCTGCGAACCCCGGGCTGCCAAACCAGAGAGCGCTAACTTAACTACTACGCCACTGGGCTGGCCCCCAGAAAATACTGTTCTTGACCCTAAAAGATGCAAACAATATTTTCCCATGGGCCTCTAGATCAAATGGCATAGTGTGCTTCACACTAACACTTCTACTCTCTTTTTTTTGCCTTTTTCGGTTTCTGATATCATGTTTCCCTCTGAGTAATGGGAATGTTCAGAGGGAAATGTGATGTCTTTATGTGCACAGGTACTTAATTTGATTCCAGGCTCAGAGGAATCTGAGAGTGATTCCTAAACCTGTCACCGTGTGACTGCTGAAACCTTGAAGGTAAGAGGCTTATCAGCCAAGGGCTCAGCAAGAAATAGAGAGCAGGAACTATTTATAGTGATATGGGCAGGGCTAGAGGAACCAGTTAGGGATGTTGAGGTCCCCCGGAGACTAGGAGACTAGGGACAGCAGGGCGCTATTGCAACCCCCAGGCATCAACAGCAGGGGAAAACAAACCTATTAGGAGAGGCTGGTTGAAACCTAGAGTCAAGATGGACTGCCCAATGGTAGCTGTAGTTTTGGTGCTAAGGCCATTGCTAAAACCACAGAGAAACAGACAGTGAGTGGGAGGGAACAAATACCCTGGCATCTCTCTCCTCCCACATTCTGATCTCCTGCTGGTGCCTCCCAATGAGCAGAGGGTGACACAGTCCATAGAGGTCAGCTTCCCCAGGACAAAGAACACAGCAGAGAAGAACAGAGAACAGATCTGGGGAGAATCAAAGAACAACCAGAAGAGATGTTTATTAACGCTTGTCCCACTTTCCTCAGGAAAGAAAACACGGAGGGAGGAAGGGCAAGAAAGGTGTTATGTTTACAAGGACAGATTGGCAAAAAGACGGAGAATTAGAGAATCAGTGACTGGACTAGTAGATATCTTTGTATTGCACTATGCTGACCTCAAGGATTTCTCTAAAACCATCGTGAGACAAACTAGAAGGTTGTTTTATATAGATGTGTGTATATATATATATAAACCACAGAATATATTTGATTCAAATTAAATATGAAACTAGAATAATGTTCAATCTTTATCAAGTAGCAATTATATTGTTTTAAAAAACAGTGAAATTAACATTAAATTACCTGGAAGATAATTATTTGGAGGGAGGCTATGGAATTAAGCTTCACACCTGAATCTCTGGATTTGGAAGTGAGATTTAAGAAGAAATATTTTAATGGACGGGGAATCAAACCTATCTTGGTGCCAGATTTCTAGCATCTTGAGCTACGGAATCCTGACGTTTCAATTTTGCGATCCTCTTCTGAGGACTGACCTGTAAAAATATTATGTGGAGCTATTTACCAAATTTATCAACCTATGACACAGTCATAAACCCAAACTCGCCAGAATATTTTAGTTGTTGCTGTGTTAACGTTTTTGAAGGAGGAGAGTGTGGAGGGCAAAGAATGCTTAGGACTCCTGGGTCCACACACACATATACCAGCATCAGCCTTCTCTCTTTCTTCAGCAAAATTATTCTTGCTTTCCATTTTTGTTTCCAAAAGCAGGCGGAGGTGAGTAAAACCAAAACATCAATACATTGAGGATATCTTTTATTATGCAGAAGTATCTTAATATGCTGGGAGGCAATATTATACATTATATCAATTTGCTTTGAGAAATCAAGTAGCTGATTATCCATCTAAACTCAAATATGTGAGACAAAGTCCCTTAGTTTGGGGGTTATTTCCTAAACTAGATCTTCACCTGAGAAGAATTCCCTAACAATAATATTTCGGGGATAAAAACAGGTAAACTCAAAGGGAGTGAATTCTAGGTCTTTAGGAATGCTGGATGTGGAGTGAAGCATTTAGAGTATCAGATGATTTATTAACAATATGTTCTTCCTAATATTATTTTATTAGTGTTTTCTTGATATTAAGTTAACCTAGATTGAGTTTCTCCAGAACAGACCCTGAGACTAGGATTGAGGCCAGGAGTTTATTTGGAAGCAATCTCAGGAAGCACTGGGAGGGGAGGGGACAGGGAGCCAGTGGAGGGGAGGAAGCCCACAGAAGATGCAATCATAAGTCTGTTACTGCTGTGGGGAGTTGGGGCTCAATTCTACTGTGCAACTCTGGGAGGCGGTGTGGAGCATATCTGAGAGTTGTCCCACCAAAGGATGAGAAGATGGGAGAATTTAGCCTCTAAATCCCATCTGTCATTAGTTTGAGGGCTGTTCCCAGGGATGTTAACTCCCTGGCACTTCCAGCCTGCCTGGCACCCAGCATGCTCCGATAGAGAAAGCTCTCAGGCTAAGGGATGCAGGTATTGGCAATAGAAAGCTGTCAGCATGTACAGGAATGTTGAGTGCCCAGTGGATATGAGCGGGGCACCAAAAGTACCTGCTTTGGAGGTGTTAACTGACTGTAAACACACTGGAAAGCTTCCTCTTAGTGGGAGGAAACCAAAGGCCAGCAACTGAGGGTGGCAAGATATGAAAAGCATAAACTGTAATCCTTCTGATAGCAGTCCTACTTTCTTCCCACACAGGATCCTTGCATGCTTCTCCTCAACCCCCAGGCAGTCACTGAAGGCCAGGCTAAGGGAGGCCTGAGAAAAATTTCTGCCTCTCTTCTCAGAAGACGTTGGCAACAGGTCCAGGAGGGGCTTTACACAGCACACCCAGCAAGAGAATGCACTGCCTTTCTAATCAATGGGAACTTAGTGTCTGTATCCCAAGGAAACAGTATTTCTTTCTCATGCTGTAAATTGTAATCATCCTATTTCTCCACAGGCTTGAAAGCCACAGGATTATCCCTTCAAAAGGAAACACTGAAGTGGAGGTGCTTACTGTTCTTCAATAAAATTTCCACATAGTACTTTCCTTTAGATTTTATGGTACGCTCTGTCTCAACTTAAGTCCCAGTCTTACAAAGCTTTCAAACCTCTTAATATCAAACTTGAATGAGCAGCTAAGACTTGGGCTGTATTTCCTCAACTGGGACATGGAGGAGGACGCAGGAAAGGGGAGTTTCCTCTGGCCTAAGGTTCCAGGGCGCCACAAAAAGACAATGGTTGCCATTGATTCTAGAAAACTGGTTCTCAGGTAGCTTTTAGGCTGATTTCCTTCTCTCTTCACTGGAGGAAGAATTCCTTTCAATAAAGTGAGGACAAGATAAGGCGCGAGTAGTTAACTAGATAAGGGTGGTACTAAGTGTTCTGGTGGGCAAGGGAAACTCACGTGAAAAATATATGAGGCTGAAGTATGAAGCTCATGAAAACACGCTCAATATCTTTAGTCATCAGGGAAATGTAAATTTATCCTAAATTGAGATACTACTTCATACTGACAAGAGATTTTCACATACTGAGGTACATGGGGTAACCATTTGGGTTCAAAGCTTACTTGGCTTGAACTAAAATGCCTGACTTATGGCCTATCAAACATACACTGTACATCTGCTTAACCATTAAAGAATGCACTCTCTTAAGATAAGAATGCATACTTCCCCTCCTATGCACTATTGGTAATGCCCTATTGGTAACATTTGGATTAGTCCCTTTCCTGGTATTACCGTCATGTTCATTTGCTAATTTGCAACTGAGTATCTCTTTGGAATTTTGATGAAAATGTATCCTGGGTGTCTTTAATGTATGTTCCTTGTTCTAAAAAGATATAAGACTGTACTGAAATCCATGCTTCTCCAGAATGCCTTCTAAGGCCTTCCCAGGTTATAATCCTCACTCTGGCTCATAGTAAACCCACCCAAATTTTGATTGATAGGTTGGTATGGAATACTTGCATCAACAATACCCACTAGAATAGCTAAAATTTAAGACTGACAATACCAAGTATTGATGAGGATGTGGAACCATTAGAACTCATATATATTGCTGGAGGGAGTGGAAAATGATATAATCACTGTGGCAAAGAACGTGGTAGGTTCTTGTGAAGTTAAACATATACTTAACTTACGATCCAGCAATGGCAGTCCTAGGTAATTATCCAAGTGAAAAGATATGTTCACAAAAGGACTTGTACAAAAATGTTCAAAGCAGCTTTACTCATAATAGCCAAAAACTGAAAACAACCCAAGAGCATGGGTAAACAAGTTGCGGTATATTAGAGCTCAGCAATAAAAAGGATGAATTAGTGTACTGATACATGCAACAACATGTCTGAATCTCACAAACATAATGCTGAAAAAAGACACTGGACACAAAAAGGTATATAAAAATTGTATGTTTCCACTTATATGAAGTTCTAGAATGGGCAAAACTAATCTAGAGTAAAAAAAGTCAGTGGTTGCTTTTGGGGGACTGAGGGGTCACCTGAGAAAGAAGGAAGATCTTCCTCATGAGATGGAAATCTGGTAAGGGTGTAGGTACACAAGCATATCGAGTTGTCAAAATTGTTAACACTTGTGCATATCAATGTATGTAAATTCTACCTTAACAACTGTAAAAATAATGATAATCAAACGGAGGGGCTGGGGAATGGATGGCACAGCTGAAATAAGTGTGGTAGAATATTAATAGCTGAAGTTGAGTGATGAGTAAGAGGGGTTCATTATACTATTCTGTTTATCTGTGTTTGAAATTTTCCATAAAAAAAGTTTTAAAAAAGACAATAGGCGAAAATCACCAAAAGGCTTTCAGGGAATTAAAAATAGTTTAGTATGGCTGGAGTGGACAATGTCTTTTCCACTCTTTCATCTCACAGGAGTCTTCCCAGACAGTGACGGACCAAAGATACCAAATCTTGTAGTCACATCTCATTCCAGAGCGTGGATGGTTACGATGACTAGCTAACATAAACCAACGATTGCGGTGGGAAAAACAGATGTGCATATCTCATGTGTAAACAAAACTCACCAAATAGCGTTCCTTGAGGCACCTTGCAGCAACTGGAACAAGGCTTTAAACTTGAGCCATTTACCTACCATGGAATATGGACATGTTTACTGGTACAGGCTTAGACAAGTATAATCCCTTTCTTAACTTGGTAAAGTTCCTGAAGTTGCAGTAACTACACCACACTCAATCAACAACTTTATAAATTAAAAATTATATGTCTGAAAATATATAAGAAATATGCTCAATAAAGCAGCATCCCTCATCATTTTCTGTTTTAAAACAGATTAATGCCAATATTGTGGGTGTTTTGTAAGAGAGTCTACAATTAAATTTCCTTCATCTTAATGCAATGCATTTGTGTCTGCATGTGTGTGTATTTGTGTGAAATCAGGGGTCTGTGTTGATTTGCTAGAGTGCACTGTAGATTTCTTTTTTAGGAAAAACTTCAAGTGCCCTTTAATTTTACAGATGAGAGAAGTGAAACCAGGAGAAATGAAGTGATTTGTTCAAGGTAACAAGGGGTAAGACCACCACTCAGATTTTCTGATTTCTTCAAATTGAGGCAGACTATTCTACAATGTGCATGAATATGAAACACTTCCCATTAGCTGCATCCATATTGAGTAACTCAAGAGAAGTTTATCTTGGCAATTCACAGAACACTATAAAAATATAGAATTGTTCAAAAGGTTTCCAGTACACTAGCAGAAATATTCTTTTGGCCAATGAAGATTATAATACTGGAATAGTATTATACTGGATTATAATACTGTTTTTATTATACCAGATTATAATACTGGAACAGGGTGACATCTTCAAAAAGATTTGGGAAAATACTGCTAATTCACAATTTACATATGCATGCTGACACAGCATTAGAGTAGATATTGAACTGCTCAAGACCCTTTCCTCTCTTTACTTTCTCTTCTTGCCCACATCTTTACTTGGGTGCCACCACACCGTCTTTACACCAGTTTTTTCAAGTGGTGGGTTACAATTCATTCGTTGGTTACAAAATCAGTGTGATACAGTCAGCATCTTAAAAAAATAATATTAATTAGATTAGAAAATAGTGTACAACACACAAAGTTAAGGCAAGGATTATTTTGTGAAATTTTTGTTTCAGTCACATACATATGTGTGTACACTGGGTGGCAATGTAAAAAATTTCTTATTGTAGATGACAGTCCAAAGGACTTGAGAGCCAATGGCTCTCAAAGGTTCTCATGGGGACTTTAAAATACTTTAACTCTGATTACTCCTTTCTCAACTCATGTGTTTGTGTTGTCTACTATTTTAATTGTCATTTTTAGAAGCACACCAATGAGACATTATTATCGTCATCATTTATCATAATAAACAATGTCCAGATTTACTTACATGTTTATTAATTTCTTTGGTAAAATTCACATAATATAAAATTCACAATTTTAACCATTTTAAAGTGTACAATTCAGTGGCATTTAGTACATTCACAACAATGTGCGACGATCACCACCATGGGTTTCAGAATATTTTCATTATCCCAAAAGGAAACTCCAGGTCAATTAAGCAGTCTCTCCCCATTCCTTCTTCTCCCAGGCTCTGGAAACCAGTAATTTGCTACCTGTCTTTATGGATTTTCCTATTCTAGATATTCCAAATGGAATCATACAATATGTGACCTTCACGTCTGGCTTCTTTCACTTAGCATAACATTTGAGGTTCATCCATGTTGTAGTAAGTAAAAGTAATTAATTCCTTTTTTGTGGGTGAACAATATTTCATTGTGTGAATATACCAGATCTATTTATCCATTCATCTACTGATGGACATTTGGGTTGTTTCTACTTTTTGGTTACTGTGAATAGTGCCGCTATGAACATTTGTATATAAGCATCTGTTTGTATATATGTTTTCAACTTTTGGATGCATATACCCACGAGTAGAATTGCTGGTTCCTATGGTGATTCTATGTCAAACTTTTTGAAGAACCCTAAGCTTTTCTCCATAGTGGCTACATCATTTAAAATTCCCATCAACAATGTACAACATTTCCAATTTCTCCACATCCTCCCCAACACTTATGTTCCATTAAAAAAATTATAGCCATTCTACTGGGCATGAAGTGGTATCTCATTGCAGTTTTGATTTGAATTTTTCTAATGATTAATGATGTTGAACATCTTTTCATGTGCTTGTTGGCCATTTGTATATCTTCTTTGGAAAAATGTCCATCCAAGTCCTTTTCTCACTTTTTAATTGTGTTATCTTTTTGTTGTTGAGTTGTACAAGCTCTTATAAATTCTGGATACTAGACAAAAGATTTATATGACTTGCAAATAATATCTCCTATTCTGTAGGCTGTCTTTTCACTTTCTTGATAATGTCCTTTGATGCACAAAATTTTTAATTTTGATGAAGTCCAATATATTTTTTCTTTTGTTCCTTGTGCTCTTGGGCTCATATCTAAGGAGTTACTGCCAAGTCCAAGATCATGAAGGTCTACCCATTTTCCTCCAAGGGTGTTATGCTTTTAGCTCTCACATTTAGGATTGATCCATTTGGAGTTAATTTTTGTATATAGTGGGAGGTAAAGTGTCCAACTTCATTCTTTTGCATGTGGGTATCCTGAACTTGTTTTCAGATAATTTTTCTTCTTTCCAGAGTACATTCTTTAAAAGCTCCTTCAGGGAAGGTTTCTTGCTAGTAAATTCAATCCATGTTTGTGTGAAAATTTCTTTATTGCCCTTGTCCTTGAAAAACAGTTTTGCTAAATCCACAAATCTAGGTCTACAGTTATTTTCTCTCCAGAACTTTGAAGGTATCATTCCACTGTGTTCTCACTTCCATTGTTGCTACTGTAAAACCTGGTATCTATTTGTCCTCCTTTGTAATAATCAATTATCTACCTTTTTTCTCTGCCTGCTTTTAAGACCTTTTAAGACCATCTTTGATATTCTTTGGTTTTACTAAAACAGATCTGGGTGTGGCTTTCTATTGATTTATCCATTCTATCTTGGACTCTTGTGTCCTCTATCTGTGGATTCACGTCCTTTCACCAGTTTTGCAAAATCCTCAGCCTTTATATCTTCAAATATTGCCTTTTTTCTATTTTCTCCTTCTGGAATTCCAATTAGATGTGTTATACCTACTCCTTACCTCCTCCATGTAGCTTAACCTCTCTATCATATTCACTGCCTTGTCTCTATGTATGACAGTCTATTTCCTTCAGATTTAATTCTCTCTTCACCTGCAAATATTCTGCTGTTTAATTCATCCACCAAGTTATTAATTTCAGTAACTGTATTTTACTTATAAATATTCTAATTGGTTTTTCAAATATGCCTATTTTTTATTAGACTTATATTTTGATCCCTTTTCAGTTTTTATTTCATCTTTAATTTCTTTTCTTTGTTCTTTTTTTTGAGGAAGATTAGCCCTGAACTAACATCTGCTGCCAATCCTCCTCTTTTTGCTGAGGAAGACTGGTCCTGAGCTCACATCCGTGCCCATCTTCCTCTACTTTATATGTGGGATGCCTACCACAGCATGGCTTGCCAAGTGGTGCCATGTCCACACCTGGGATCCGAACCAGCGAACCCCGGGCTGCCAAAGCGGAACGTGTGCACTTAACCGCTGTGCCACTGGGCCGGCCCTTCATCTTTAATTTCTTAAAAGACTTGATCCATAATTACTTTATACTCTATGATAATTTCAAATCTAAATTCTCAAGAATCTAAATGTGCTCTTATTGTTTTCTCCTGACTTTCATCCATGGTATGTTTGTTAATTTCTTATGTTATATTTGATTGTGTTTAACCTTTGCAAATCAGAAAGCCTCAACCGGGGACTTATATTTGTTTCTTCATGGATCCAGTGGAGACTACTGATCTGGGGCCACTCTAGTCCTCTTCAAAGATCCTGGCTTAATGGAAGAGTCCCACTCTCTAAGCTGCAGAAAACCCAAGGCTTAATCTTCCAATCTCGGTGCTGGGATGGACCTTTTCCCCCAAAGGCAATCCTTGTCTTTTAATTTGTTTAAACGTTCATTATTCCAGTTTTAATGTTTTCACTATCCATATCTGGCACATGGAGATATCCTTCATTTCTTGTATGTCAGCAATGTATTAAAATTATATTTGAAATTTATCCAGGTTCTAGTCACATTGTAGTGGCAGAGTCATTCTCTCTAGTCCATCATAATCTTAGCAGTGAAAAGCATAAGAAATATTTTTATCTATATAAGTTGGAGGTTATAACTATGGAAGAAAAAAGAGGAAGTGAGAAGTGAATAATAAGCCACGTAGATGTGTTGAATAAGAGGATTTGGTTTCACGGACCATGATTATACCATGCTTCTTTTCCTGAGGACTAGAGAGAGGGATAGCGGAATAGATGGAGAATAGTTAGTTATAAATGGGGCTAAAATGGCTTCAACCAAATTCACCTTAAATAGTGAAAAAGAAACAATGTTGTCATACCTAACTACTTAAAATAAGTCATGTTTTCACGAAATGATATGCTTCTTGAGAATAATATATTTCTTTCACCGTGCCCAGGGCCCCAACATAGAATAAGCACTTACGTATTCTTTGGGATCTAAAACTGCTATGCTAAAAAGATCTTTAAAGGTCACGTAGTTTAACATTTTAAATTTAAAGACAAATAACTTGGATTACAGTTTTAAGCAACTTATCCTGAGGTCACATAGCTAGTGTAACAGATCATGGGAGTAGACCCAAAGTCTCCTACTCCAGGCCATGCTTGTCTATTAACCACACTATACCATTGAATTGAGTCAAAATGAATTGTTCAAGTATGTGGCATTGCATACCAAAAAGAAGGGGAAAAAAGCTCTCTTTGAATTAATTGTTTTTCTTCTTTCCCTTTTACGGAACTGATGACTTCATACATAAGCTTGTTTGCTGAAGGCACATATTTTCTATGAATATAAACCCTCTATTGTGCGTTTTTTAAAAAACAGTTTTCACTATAGGGACAAAATCTTTCTCTTTTTTTTGGTAATAGTTCAACTACTCCAGGAGTAAACAAGAAACACAGCTCTAGCTAAAGAGCAGGAAAGAGCTGATTTGTGCACCA